TCTAATTGATCTTGCACTCAACTAACTCTAGTTGATCTACTGCTTTAATTCTGAGAGAAAAATGTCTCTGAAGCTCGATATCTACTAGGTGTCTCAATGACATATAATTGCAAACTTTTACTTGCTTCAAAATTTCTCTTGATAATTTATAACTTTTATAATTTATAGTTTATAATTTGACTTCTACAATTTCACTTAATTCTGGTTGTCAAGAAAATTATGAATGTGGATAAGAAACAAAGCAGGACCAGGGATAGAACCTTGATGTACCCCAGAAGTTACTGGAAATAAAGAAGAGTGTTGGCCTTCGAGGATGGCTTAAATAAAGCAGTTAGAAAGAAACGATTTGATAATCTCAAAAACTTTCCCAGATGAAATAAGCTTATGAAGAAGATTTCAACAAACTTTGTTGAAAGCCTTAGATATGTCAAGAACAATAGCCCTGACCTCTCTGCCTCCATCTAATGCATGATAAAATCTTTCAGTCACAACAGTTAGCTAGTCAGCTGACAGGAATGATGTCTTGGACCTCAAGCCATAAAAGAGTTTAATAAAGATATGACTTATGCAATTGAAGCTGGAATGATTTGAATGCCTAACAACGGATTAACCTGTTTAATTAGAGTGGAAGGAAGAGAATGGCGAAGGTAAATGATTAGGGTTGTTAAGAAAACAAGTCACAAAGTTAACTATCTGAGTAAGAGATTGAGAAATGAAAATTTATAGGCTTTAGTGCCAGTAGGATCAGTGGCGTTAGAGCCAAGCCATTCAGTGTGATGAGCATTAAAGTTACCAATAACAACAATATTGGCAGAATTGATACATATGTATACCCCAAGCCGAGCATGGGACTGTTATGGTCTTTGCGAATCAAAGGATGGTACTCATCAATACTAAGATCAGAAGAAGGAATAGTAGAATTTAAATTGGTCTCACTAAGAACAAGTAAGTCTGGTGAATTTTGTAAGAGTTAAGATTCAATGGAAGGTTGCTATGCAGACCACGGATGGAAGGTTGCTATGCAGACCACAAATATTAGTAAATGATATATTAAAACAGTTAGGTGGTTATTTTTTAATATTTTGTTATATGTTTAATATTTTGGGTTACTTTTGGCATGATTTAATTTTAAAGAGAAATTGACTCATTCTTAGATAGATCGCCTCCAACTAAGCAATGAGCTGTGCAATTTTTTTAGTCCTGTTAATCAACTCTAAGTTGTGACATAGGGCTCCTTATGTGACTTCCACATTGCGCACTAAAGGCATTAAAAGGGACACCATACATGCACAACATGGCACAGTTAATACTCTGATATTTTGTAGTTGTTGATGAAATCAGCCTCTCTGAGAGCTACCACAGAGTTCGTAAAACTTTACTACCAGTGGGCCTCAGAACCATTAAACTGAGTTTTAGAGTTATACCCTCAATAGGAGATAATAGGAAGTGTTGTATAGCCACTATCAAGGAGGCACAAGCAAAAACTTATGAGTAGAGTTAAGAAGATCCATCATTCATCACCCGATACAGGAAACGCAGGTTTACATCTACGCCAGCCTAATATATAAAAAATGGGTTCGAGGCTGGTTAACATAATTATTCTTGCTACCTCTAAAGTCTTTGCCCAAGTCTAGGCCTCCTACAAGACAGTAGCTGGATGCAGTTAACATCTGCCCAAGATGAGTATTTTTATTGAGTCACCATCCCTAGCCTTTACTCAACCAAAGGCTCCAAGGCAGAGGAATTTTAGCTAGATGCAGTTAACATCTGCCCAAGATGAGTATTTTTATCAAGACACCATATCTAGCCTTTACTCAACCATGAGCCCCAAAGGCAGGGAATTTTTAAGTTGGAGTTTGTTTCTCCTAGCCTTTGCCTAAAAAAGCACATTCTATAAAGCAGCAGGGCATGGGGCAGGTAGTACTGGGTTACATAATACCAGTAGCAGGGTGATCCTGATGATCCTAAACCTGACCTGACCTGTAGTAATTAACAGGAGCTGCTTCCTGCAAACAGCACCTTAAAACACCAGACATGATATTATGGAAATGTGTTAGGAAAAATATTACACCCAACAAAATACTAGAGATAAGAATGAGCGTAGGTTTAATAGTTGGAGTGTCTAGTTAGTTAATAAGCTCACACTACATCAAAACAGATTTAAACGTTTAAACAGTTCACATATATACATTAAGTAACTTACGGGTAAACCTACACAGCGCCAAAGGTTTAAACAAAACACAAACATACATATAAACATAAACAGACAGAACACAAAAATACAGATAGCTACTTACAGGCAAGTCAACACTGTGCTAGAGGTTTAGACTGAACACAAACATACAGATAGAAACTTACGACTGAGTGAACACTGAGCCAGCGGTGTAGACAGAACACAAACATACATAGAAAGTACATTGCAGGTTAGCTAAAACAGTAACTAAGGCACCTCCAACTATATAAAAAACACAAAAAAATAAAAAAATAAATATATTTGTATATATTACTATAGGCATGACCGATTTTAAATAGTACTGATGTCAGGAGGCAAACTCCTTGCAGCCTTTGCTTAGAAAGCGAATCCAACAAGTCAGCAGGACAGGTTGCACTGGGTTACATGTTACCAGTAGCAGGGTGATCATGACACCTGACCTGATGCATAAATAAATAACTAGAACTATATAGTATAAATGTTACTGTTACCTGCAGTACCAGGAATTAACTAAATGCTAATGTTTATAATATAATATAATCTTGCAACTCTGAGTTAACACACAGTGGGCTTGAGCATGATCAAGACCTTACTTTTGTACCCAAATTTTTTAAATAGTAGGTCTGAACCTGTTAAAATTAAAATGATTGAACAGGTGGTTTTGAAAAAAAAAGTGTTTTCGTTTTTATGAATTTTTTGTAAAAAAAGCAAAAAATTACACAAATTGCTGCTTAAGTTGTCTTT